CTCGGCATGGAACTGCATCATGGAACTTTCATCCATGGGCTCCAGCCACACACACTCCTCATCAACCGACAGTGGAAATCAACATTCGCCAACCCTACATAATCTTCATGACAATTCTCCGATCCACTTTCAAGAAGCACCGACTGGCATTGCAGGGTGCACCACCTAGGACTGAAAGGCTGTTCAAAGATCACTTTGAACAGAGGGATAGACATCCAGCTCACAATTATTCCAAACTGCACCTCAAGGCCACCTGTTCTCTCTTTGTACTTGTTCTCTTAGTGCCTACATGCTCACAGCATTCCAGCACTGCCTGATTTTGCTTTTCTCTGCCAATTAGCACAGTCACATCACCAAGCTGGTCAGCACGATAGGTGTGTGTACATTTTACTGTATGGCACTGTGCTGATATCAATCTCACAGCTGTACCATGTGCCAGCAGCTTACATGGAAACATACTGCATGTGCAGCAACCAAGGAGCCTTGTTCATAATCGTAGGAGAGGAGTCCTCACCTAAATCCATGGATGCACCTGTCAGTCAGGGATCCCAGCACCAAAAGTCAAAGGCAGCCTTTTGTTATGCAGATTGGCCATTGTTAGGAGTCCAGTTGGGGTGTTCTCCATCAGAGGGGTCTGTGCCTCTATAATCTGGGGAGTGGATCATGGTCAGTCTTGTGGCTCCATAGCAGCCAGACTGGCGGATAGAGCTAAAAAAGTGTTGCATCCTTCTCTGCTGGTTGTCCAGGAGGAGGGCACTCCCTCCTTTGCACCACTTCCTCCTGCTGGGTCTCCAGGCCCTGTTGGAGAATCATCATGCCATATTGCCCCTCTCCAACATCTTCTGACTGAATGTGCATCACCAGCAGGATAGCTTCAGAATACCAGTGGGCACAGTGGCATTTAAAACATGCATGAGCCCCAAGGATGCTGGTCCTTTAGAGGACACCTGGTGAGTGACAACTGGTTCTAGGAACAGAGTGTGGTAAGATAAGATTAGAATTAAGCATGAGGACTGCTGTAGGGGAGGGCTAAGTAGTTAAGATGAGTTTGGTAAGGATTGGACAGGCTAGGAGAGTGGGCAAAGTAGTGACAGATGTAAGACAATGCAGGAAAGTGTAAAGTTATGCATTTTGGTAGGAAGAAAAGAAGTGTAGACTATTTTCTAACTGGAGAAAGGCTTCAGAAACCTGAAGCACAAATGACTTAGGTGTTCTTGTTCAGGATTCTCTTCAGGTTAACATGCAGATTCATTTGGCAATTCGGAAGGCAAATGCAACAATACCATTCATTTCAAGAGGCTAGAACGCAAAAGCAGAGATACTGCGCTCAGACAGAGTAAGGTTTTCGTCAGATTACTTTTGGAATGCTGTGAGGAGTTTTGAGCCCTGTATCTAAGGAAGGATGGGCTGACATTGGAGAGTGTCTGGAGGATATTTACAGGAATGATCCCGGGATAAAAGGCTTGTCATATGAGGAACAGTTAAGGACTCTTGTTCTGTACTGAACGGTGTTTAGAAGGATGAGGGGGATCTGAAACTTATAAAATCCTGAGAGGACTGGATAGAGTGGATGTAGAGAAGTTGTTTCCACTAGTCAGAGAGACTGGGACGCAAGGGCACAGCCTCAGCGTGAAGGGACAACCCTTTAGAACTGAGATGAGGAGGAATTTCTTTCGCCAGAGGGTAATGGATCTGTGGAACTCACTGCCATAGAAGGCCATGGCGGCCAAATCATTGAGTATATTTAAGACAGAGACAGATAGGTTCTTGATTAGTAAAGGGATCGAGGGTTGCAGGGAGAAGGTGGGAGAATGGAGTTGAGAAACATAACAGCCATGATTGAATGGTGGAGCAGACTCAAGGGGCAGAATGACCTAATTCTGCTCCTATATCTTATGGTGTTATGGTCTCTTAGTAAGATAGGGTGCGAGACCTCACTAGGTCTTGTGACAGAAAACCTTCTGAAAAAGCCAACACAGCTGACATTAAAATAAGACTCAGCCCTTGCTGTCTCTCTATCAGTCTTACAGCATTCATGTTCACACGCTCCCATGCTTTCTGTTATTCTTTACCTGTCAACCAGCCAGCTCAAACTGCTGTCACCATTGCTGGGATAGTGTGAAAGCAAAAACTTGAAACAACAATGGAGTACATCAGGATGTGTAGCTTTGCAGCAAGTTTCAGAAGAATTGAACTTCAACCTACCTATAAGCAGTTGAAGATCTCTTTAAATAATACACATGGGAAATTCTACATTCTGCTTAAAATAATTGTGTGAGATTAATGGAGGATGATGCTCGAGCTCAGAATTCTAAAATTGCATTAAATCATGACATCTGCTTAATGTTTATACTGCAACTAGATGTTAAGTTTTTTCTGAAGAAGTGTCCAGACACAAAACGTCAGCTTTCCTGCTCCTTTGATGCTGCCTGGTCTGCTGTGTTCATCCAGCTCTACACCTTGTTATGTCAGACTCCAGCAATGGCAGTTCCTACTATCTCTAGATGTTAAGCGTCCCTGCTTTGGATACCATTTTGGATCCTCAACAGCACTTAATGAGTGCAAAAACTAGGTACTGCCAAGCCTGTTATCTCCTACATTCATTAAGCAGAACAGCTAATGCATAATGAAAACAAGAACATATCTCTATGGATTTTTACAAGAGTTTTAGTGCCTGGGAAAAAAATCCGATGTTTCTTCCCACTTCATTTAGACAAAAATTGTTTAGTTTAACTTTGTGCAATAGGTGGCAGTAGCGTTCTGATATAGATCAAAACACAGTGCTTATGTTAAGGAACAACTGAAACATTGAGAAATATTCAAAAATGATTGCAACAAAAGCTACATGAAACGTATTTCAAATTTAAACACAAAAACAGATGTAATATCAGAACAATTTAAGTGTTTGACGGCTAAATTCATTATTAGTGTCACATGTTACAACCTACCAATGCTCCTTAGACAGTACCTTATAAACCCAGAGCCTCTACCATTCAGGACAAGAGCTGCAGATACATAAAAGCATCACTCCCTGCAAGTTCCCCTCCAAGACTTGCATCACCTTGGTTTGGAAATATATTGCTGCACCTTCAGTGTCAGTGAGTCAAAATCCTGGACCTCCCTCCCTAGCAGCTCTGTCGCTGCATCTCCACCACATGGATTGCTGCAATTCAAAAGGCAACTCACCAGTACCTTCTCAAAGGCAAGTCGGGAAGGACAATAAGTGTTAGGCATCAAAATCTCGTAAATGAGTACAAAAAAATGAATAACTGCAAAAGGAACTATTTCAATAAAAGCACCTATCATGTTGAGTTTTGAGCGATTTCCTTTTGCAGTTTTCAGACTGTTAATGATTTCTATTCAACGACAGCAAATAAGGATTTTCTGTCCTGAACATTAATAATTATTTGTTAAATCAAAACTGAAAGTAAAACTCAATGCAGTTTTTAAAAAGAAATCTCTCATGGGATTTGGGAAGTGCTGGCAAGTTTGGCATTTGTTGCCCATCATTAATTGTCCTTGAACTGAGTTTCCTGCTCAGCCTTTTCTGACTTAAGGATGAACCACTTGCTGTAGATCCACAGTGGAAAATTTTGTCATTATAGCTTTGGGGGATTGGTTAACACAGTTGGCTGGGCAGCTGATTTGTAACAGCATGGCTTTAATTCCCACATCGAGCACAGTGGTTACATCGTCAGGGGCCTGGGTTTGATTTCAGCCTCAGATAACTGTGTGGAGTTTGCACGTCTTCCCCGTTTCTGCTATGTTCTCCGGTTTCCGCCCACAGTCTAAAGATGTGCAGGTTAGGTGGATCGGCCATACTAAATTGCCCCATATTGTCTGGGGAAGTGTAAGCTAGGTGGGTTAGCCATGGTAAATGCGAGTTACAGAAATAAGGTAGGGGTCTGAGTGGGATGCTGATCAGAGGGTCTGTACAGTCTTGATGGACTAAATGGGCTCTCTCTACACTAGGGATTCTACAATCTAGCTGCAGACTCCCTTGTTTCAACCTCTCTTCTTACCCGAGGACTGGTCACCCTTAGGTTAAATGACCAGCAGTCATCTCTGCCATTCAATACAGTCATGGCTGAAAATCAAGCTCAATACCCAAATCCTGCCACTCACCCCCAAATATCTCTTGAGTCCCTTAGCCACAAGAGCTATACTACCTCCTTCTTGAAAACACATAATGTTTTGGCCTCAACCACTTTCTGTGGTAATGAGTTCTATAGGCCCACCACTCTCTGGGTGGAGAAATTTCTCTTCCTTTCACAATTTAGGACAGGAATTTCCCAGTATTTTGTCAAGGTTTGTAGTAGTTTGAATGCTGCTTTTGCACTCATTGTCATACTCATTTCCAACTGTTGTCATTGCGTAACCTGTAAAAAATTGATTCCTTACCTATGCGTTTCAATCAAATTAACATTGAACAATAACATTTTACCATAGAACAGAGGCACATTGTAACATCAGAAAGCCCTCTGTGTTGTCACTTGAAGACAGCAACTTAGTTTATGACAAAGCACCAACAAAGGTTAGAAGTCAACAATTCTAGATTGATCATTACAATAGTCATGTTTTTCGAAAAGACATCTTGTTAAAATCAAATTTTTGAAGAACCAGAAGAGGAGGAAGCTTTATTGCGCAGATTATATTTAATTTATTTATTCGACCTTTTACTCCAAAATAATTTCTCAACATTAATGATCAACTAGTGTGCTCTGAATAATCATCTTCTGCTTCTTTATACATTGTGAAGTGAAACCTCTAGGCTCTCCACACAAAACGGTACCAAAGTTCAAATCTTATCCAGAAAGAGAGAAAATGGTGCCAAATATATTTTGATTTTTCATGTGCATTGTCGACTGTTGGCAATGTAATATCTCTGTGAAGAGATCTTTGGAGGAAGTAATATACAAATCAGTTCTTATTGCTGTCAATATCCAAGACAGGAATTTCTAAATTATATTTGGTTTTGCTTCATATATTGTTTTGACGTAATGAAAGATCTCATGAATTTTGGCAAAGAAACTTCAGGCTACATTGACCTTGATGGTAAGGTATACTAGAAAAGAAACAAATACAGCTCTTGTATTTGTTGTACTCAAATGCCAAACCATCGGCTTTACGTTAATTTCTTCTGACACGTTAACAAAGAAGCAATCCAATGTGAGGAATTGCTGAATTCTTACTTCCAGAAATTGATTATAAATAGGGTTAAGAAAATATAAACAGATTTAGAATGTTATCTTTCTCCAGGCTTTGATCTTGTGAATTCTTTGTGAATTAACTGTGAGAAGAAACACATATTGTTGGAGCAACTGCATCCCTAATGTAAGTGTTCAATGAAAATGTCAATCTCATGTCGCCATTGACTTATGCTCTTGAAGTTTATAATGGAATCTGAACTCTAAACATCAATTTAGCCTTTGTCAGCAAAGTAGACCCATAACTGCAACTTCCTCCAGCTCTACAACCCCACCCTGGAACTTTGTATTCCTTGCAACATTGGCTGTGATGTGTCGGTATTTATAAAAGATAAATATAGTGGAGCTCTGCTGCCTATCAACCATTTTGATCCGCAAACTTGACAATCCTCTGTAGAATACACCAAGATGAGGGCTGCTGTCCAAGAATGTTCAATTATCACTTTGGCTAATAATATAAAATTCTTGATGGTGAGTCAGTTGCTGGTTATACAATGAAACATCCAAGTTTCATTTATATTGCCTTGAACAAAACATGGACTGGTAGATGGGAGCCACCTTCATAAAAGGACCTGAAATAACTGAAGACAATCCGACTTGCATACATAATAGATCAGATTCCTGTTTCAGCTGGTTGATCTGGGTGACTTTGGGATGCCCTAACCAATTTGGTGTGCATGCATGCTCACCAGAGAATGAATATATACATGCTACAGGCACTGAAGTAGTTCCATTTCTAGGCCCTGGCCTTAGTAAATTGGCTTTTTTCATTGTAGATGCAATGGGGTATTATAAGACTCATGAGCTGTGGTTCTTGCGTGGGGGCATGGGATGCAGATTTTCATTATAAACTCAAATCAAACATCAGGCATTTTCATAAATCACCCTTTTAATTTAAACCAAAAAAAGGTATCTGTTGTCATTTAAGTTTTATAATACCCGTTCAAATGGAATAGGTGGCTGCTTCCAAACATCAGAATCTATGTTCTCTTTGAACAGGGCTAAATTAAATAACATGCCAGATTTCAGTATTCAATGATTTAGTAAATACTCAAATTAATAAGGGCCCAATTTGGGAGACAGTTTTTAATTACATTTTGAAAAGTGGCCATCTGTCCTTGGAACCTTCATGGTTACATCGAAGCGGTCATCTGTCCTTCGCAGTTAATTTGTAAATACTGTGATTTTGTGATTTTTGAGATTCATTTTTACATGATACCTGTAAACTTTTGGCACAAACATATTATGAATTAGTAATTTGAACAAGTAAAGGTTATTACACCATTCCATTAGAATGACAATTTAATTTAGAAGTTCAAAGAAAAATTAATCATTTAATCCTAGGTCCATTTATGTTTCAACTTTGAAGTGATTTACAGCAAGCAGTACAATATTGTGGAACTTCTAATGTGCCCTATTGAAATCCTCAATTTAATTGACTTGCTCATGATTTCAAATGATCTTTTATTTATAGAAGTAGAATTTTATGGCAGCAACCGACTGCACATCTAAATTTAAAATAAATATTAAGTGTAGGAATCGGTACACAACTGGCAAATATCACATCTCTCATTACCCTTGAGAAAGTAGTGTGAATGTAACTGATGTGATAAACAAATTAATTGAGGAAATCAGTAGAGAATAAACAATCGTGAGGAAGAGCCTAACCTGCAATTATGTGCAGATTCATCCTATAACACACAGTTACATTCACCTTTCCTGTTCCAAGCTGTTATAAATTGGAAACACCCCCTTCAGCTCCAGAAGCTAACTAGTATTTTTTATTAGCACTTGAATGTCTTTTTAGTTCAAGAAATAGTGTGGTGATAGGGAAGTTAGTGTATGATAGTCCTTTTAAATGGTATCTGTGAACTCTCAGTTGTTGATGGAAACACTATCATAAGTGTGTCACTTGCAATCAATTCTCTACAGAACAAGAGCAGAAGCTTGCCAGATCTGATTTTTTTTTCTGTTGTTATGCAAACATTTTTCAAACAGTAAAGGTGGCCAGAACAATCAGAATTTGCCCCATCCAAAATATTATGCAAAATCCCTTCAATTACAACATTGCATATGTAATTTTGTTGTTGAAAAAAAAGGGAAAACTCAGGGAATTATAGAACTGTTAAAGTATATCTGTTGTCAGGAAAATACTAGAGTGTAGAATCGGAGTAAATGACATAAATTTTTCAGAGACAGCAGGCATAGATTTGTAGATGGTAAATTTTGCCAGACTAATCTGATTGATGTTTTTTAAAGATTAAAGAAATGACAAGTATCAGCAAGTTTTTTTTGTGTATACTTCCAGAAGGTGCTTGATTTAGCTAATATTGAAATTCATGAGACTGTGACATTGTTGGGAAGGTGGCAGAGTAGTAAGAGATAAGCAATAAGAATAATGGGCAGGTACCCTGATTTGATTGGATGTAATGAGTGGAGACTCAAAAGGAACTTTATTGGGGTCTCAATTATTCACTATTTATTAACAACTTAGATGACGAAAAAGAAAACTATGTATCCAAATTTTCTGGTGACGCAAAGATAAGTAACATATAGAAGGGAACATAAAATTACAGAGAGACATAGATAGGTTAGGTAGGCAAAACCGTGGCTGATGGATTTCAAAGTGGTAAATGTGAAAGCATTCACTGTGGACTTAAAAATAATAGAAGAAGACCCTATCTAAATGATGAAAAGGTAGAAAGAGTGAAGGTCCTAAGAGAATTAGGGATATACACACACAAAGATCATAGAGTCAGAGTCTTAGAGATATACAGCACAGAAACAGACCATTCAGGCCAACTCATCCACACCGACCTGATATCCTTTATAAATCTAGTCTCATTTGCCAGTATTTGGCCCATATCCCTCTAAACCCTTCCTATACATATGCTCATCCAGATGCCTTTTAAATGTTGTGATCATACCATTCTCTGGCAGCTCATTCCATATAGGCACCATCCTTTGTGTGAAAAAGTTGCACCTTAGATCCCTTTTACATCTTTCCCCTCTCACCTTAAACCTACACCCTCTAGTTTTGGTCTCCCCCACCCGAGGGAAAAGACTTTGCCTATCCACCCTTTCCATGCCCCTCATGATTTATAAACCGCTATAGAGTCACCCCTCAGCCTCCGACGCTCCAGGGAAAATAGCCCCAGTCTATTCAGCCTCTCCTTGTAGCTCAAACCCCCCAACCCTGGTAACATCCTCGCAAATCTTTTCTTAACTCTTTCTAGTTTCACAACATCCTCCCTAGTGGAGGGAGACCAGAACTGCATGCAATACTCCAAAGTGGCTGAACTAATGTCCTGTACAACTGCAACATAGCCTCTCAATTCCTATACTCAATGCACTGCCCAATAATGGCAAGCATACCCAACGCCACCTTCACTATCCTATCTACCTGTGACTCTACTTTCAAGGAACTGTGAACATGCACTCCAAGGTCTCTTTGTTCAGCAACATTCCCCAGGACCTTACCTTTAAGTGTATAAGTCCTGCCCTGACTTGCCTTTCCAAAATGCAGCACCTCACATTTATCTAAATTAAACTCCATGTGCCACTCCTCAGCACATTGGCCCATCTGATCAAGATCCATTGTACTCTCAAGTAACCTTGTTTGCTGCCCACTACACCTCCAATTTTGGTGTCATCTGCAAACTTACTAACTATACCTCCTACGTTCACATCCAAATCATTTATGTAAATGACAAAAAGCAATGGACTGAGCACCAATCTTTGTGGCACACCACCGGTCACAGGCCTCCAGTCTGAAAAGTAACCCTCTACCACCCTCTGTCTTCTACCTTCAATCCAGTTCTGTATCCAAATGGCTAGTTCTCTCCTGTATTCCATGTGATCTAACCTTGCTAACCAGTCTACCATGAGGAAACTTGTTAAACGCCTTACTGAAGTCCATATAGATCACATCCATTGCTCTGCCATCATCAGTCCTCTTTGTTACTTCTTCAGAAACTCAATCAAGTCAATGAGACATGATTTCCCACACCCAAAGCCATGTTGACTATCCCTAATCAGTCCTTGCCTTTCCAAATACATGTAAATCCTCACGATTCCCTCCAACAACATGCCCACTGCTGATATCAGAATCACCAGTCTATAGTTCTCTGGCTTTTCCTTACCACCTTTCTAAAATTGTGGCAAAACGTTAGCCAACCTCCAGTCTTCCAGCACCTCACCTGTGGCTATTGATGATACAAATACCTCAGCATGGGGCCCAGCAATCTCTTCCCTAGCTTTCTACAGAGTTCTAGGCTATACCTGATCAGGTCCCAGGGCTTTATCCACCTTTATGCTTTTTAAGACATCCAATACCTCTTTCTCTGTAATATGGACATTTTTCAAGATGCCACTATTTATTTCCCCATGTTCTTTATCTTCCATATCTTTCTCCAAAGTAAACACTGATGCAAAATACTCATTTAGTATCTCACTCATCTCCTGTGGTTCCACACTTAGGCAGCCTTGCTGATTTTTTAGGGGCCATATTCTCCCCTTTTGTCCTTAGAATTCCTTTGGATTCTCCATAACCCTATTTTCCAAAGCTATGTCATGTCCCCTTCTTGCCCTCCCGATTTCCCTTTTAAGTATACTCCTACTACCTTTATACTCTTCTAGAGATTCACTCGATCTCTGCACTCTATACCTGACATTTGCTTCCTTCTTTTTCTTGACCAAAACTTCAATTTCTTTAATCAGCCAGCATTCCCTTACCTACTAGCCTTGCCCTTCACCCTAACAGGAACATACTGGACTCTTATCATCTCATTTTTGAATGCTTCCTATTTGCCAACCATCCATTTACTTGCAAACATTTGCCTCAAGTCAACTTT